AATTATAAACTCTTCATGAAATATATTTATTTCAGTGGGTTATTTAAACAGTATAAACTAAGGCAGATCAAAGACATGTTTGTTCTGTTTAGGGCATATATATCAAGTCCAAGCAATGCTTTGCCTAATAGAGAAATTATTCAGCACAGAAATTGTTCAATTGAGAATTTTTCAAGCAATTGAACTTCACTGTGAGTGTTCTTCATCTGAGGTATTAAAGGATTAGGCTGTAATTTAGATCCTTTCATAAGAGCTTTGTTCTAATGACTTTTATACATTCTCTGTGCTACTTTGCACAGAGTAGGGGAATTACTGAGTTGTTAATCGAGTTGAGACTTTGCCAGGGAAGTTCTTTCCATAAATAATCATTTTCTTCTTTCACCTGTTTCCATTGCATGAAAAACCGTTCCAGTGTTTCCCTGAATGTCACACTCAAACTGTCCATAAACTTTGAACAAAAGATCTGAGCTGTGACTTCTTTCCAGTCGGATAGACAATAAGAAAGGAAAACTCTCCCAGTCAGGAAGATCTTGAGAAGGAATTATTGAGCACAGTATTTTCTAGTTGAGATTTCGAGAGTAACCTTGTCCTCCCGAAATCTGAAGGAAGTCTGACAGGAAAGATGGAGAGAGACTGGAGGGACAGGACAGGGTGGAATGGCTTCAAAGTGCCAGAGGGTGGGGTTAGGTGGGATGTTGGGAAAGAATTGTTGGGTGTGAAGGTGGAGAGGCCCTGGCACAGGTTGCCCAGAGAAGCTGTGGCTGCCCCATCCCTGGAAGTGTCCAAGGCCAGGTTGGACAGGGCTTGGAGCAACCTGGGCTAGTGGAAGGTGTCCCTGTCTGTGGCAGGAGATGGGACTTAAAGTCCCTTCCAACCCAAACCCTTCTTTGATTCTGTGATTCGTGGATCAAGTAGAAGTTTCTTCCAAGGAAGCAGCACCTGGAATAGCTTTCCTCCCTTGTTTGTAAGTACTCATGTGAAGTGTGTACTCTGTACTTTAATATAGATTGATTTAATTTGCTGAGTCCAGTGGAGTCTTTCCTTGGTCCTAAAAACCAAGTGTACAAATTGCTGACTCAGATGTGCAAAAGGACTGACTGGTAGATTAAAATTGATCTACCGAAGTCGATTGCAAAACTCCCTGGATTTACTGGTTAAGAATTTTCTTCCCAGATCAGGCACGTGGTGGGATTCTTGGAGTTGTCCTGTGCAGGGCCAGGAGTTGGACTGGATTATCCTTGTGGGTGATTTTGTAATCCTTTGGAACTGGCAAGTCCTACACGCTCCCAGAACACATCCAGTCCCAGGTATGGACTGCAAAGCATTTATTTACATTTAAAAACGGACATAATTTCACACTGTGTCATTTGCTTCCCAGTCACCTTTCCTGGCTTTGGAACCTTTCTCTGCCTATTGAAAAGCTGCTTTTCAAGATGAACTTTGATTACTGGAAATAGAGATTTTATTTAAAAATATTGGTGCTTCCCATAATGATCTTTGCCAGTTTCTTTCCTGTAGTAGTTTATTATGTTCTTTCACCATTTTAAAGAGAAATGTATTATTTCAAAGTATTTCTTAAATGTAGATATAAACTTATGCAGATTCTTCCCACAATGAGGTTCTATGCAGGAATACAAGCATTCCAAAATCTTGGGTGCAATAATGTGTCAGTGCCATAAACTCTTATTTTAAGAGAGGAAATGTATTGCAAAACTTTAAATTTTCAGCCATTCATCACACAGTAACTCCTCATCTCCAGATTTGCCTGAATAGTTATTTATTTCATACCTTATAAAAGCCCTAATTTGGTAGAAACTTTAATGGGAGCTTCTGCTCTTTAGTTATAAAACAGTGGTGTTACAAATCTGTGAGAAATAAACTTCATTTAGGGCTTCCAAACCACCGGTTCAGACACTTGAACAAAACAGGATCTTCACAGGAGGAATTAAGATGCTGATTTTAAAGGAGATTCAAGCACTGACTTAAAATAAACTAATTTTTCTCCCCATTTTTTTGACAGTTGACAATTTTACTTCAGCAGGGATTCAGGTGTATTTGTCAGCTTGTGCTCCTCCTAAATTAATTGTTCCCAAATTAACCCAACAGCAAATTTAAACCTTGAAGAAAATGCCTTTTTTTTTTCTCCTCCTGTAAATCTACTTTTGCAAATATTTGTACAGGTGCTATTTCAGAGAGACAGATTTAAAGCCAGGCTTAAAACCTGTATTATAATTTGTGTTTCCCTCTAAGTAGTGCTGTGTTTGCAGGGACATTTCTCCCAGAGGCAGTGACAGTAAGTGCACTAATAAACCACTGTAAATCACGTCAGAATATACAATTATTGGCTTTGGGGAGATTTATTTATTCATTTTGTTTGATCACATGTGGGCTGGGAGAGACTGTAATAAATTCAGCTTTCAAAGAGTTTTACTGGTGTAAACTGTTTGGTTTAGATACAACATTCAGGAATAACTGCCCTTGTAAAGACCCCCAGGAAGGATCTGACTTTAATAACTGTGTATTAGCAATTATACTCAATTAATTATCCAGTAGAAACCTGATTTTTTAATGTTTTATATCTAAATTAAAGGTTGTCCAGGAGAATAAAGCTATAGTGGAAAGCTAAAATACTAGTAAATTATTATTGTTATTATTAATATATCCTTAATGTGCTGAACTAAATTAAAACCCCACTTAATAAAATAGACTTCCAAGTTGAGGAAAATTGAGGAAATAGAATTCAATTGAGGAAAAAAATACCATTTAAAAGGTTTCTTATATCTGACTGTGTCCCATCCAAAGTACCCTAAAGCCATCACACCACATAAAATAGTCTTTGAGGCAAGCTAGATAATGAAATAAAATAGTAGTAATATCAAAAGTTCTGCTTTGGGAAACATCTGGGTAGGGGAATTTTATCCCCTGAAGCACAAAAGGCTGGACAACCCTTTTACCCCCTGTATCTCTTTCCCTTTACACATGCACAGAATTTTAAGTTGGAATTAGGGTCACCAGATTCCATATCTCAATAATGCATAGTTTTATTATTGTTATTGTTGTTTTATTGTTATTATTATTGTTGCTATTGTTATTACAGATTCAAGAATGGGCACAGGCAGAGGTACAGGTACAGGTTCAGGTACAGGTACAGGTTTAGGTTCAGGTGTGGGCAGAGGATCAGATACAGGTGAACCTACAAACAGAGGCTTAGGCTTAGGATCAGATTCAGGTTCAGGAACAGACACAAGCAGAGATGCAGGTACCTGTGTGAGCACAGGTTCAGGTAAAATACAGCTACAGGTACAAGCACAGGTTCAGATACAGGTGTAGGTATGGGCACGGATAGAGGTGCAGGTACAGATCTAAGTTAAGGTACAAGTACAGGCACAGCCAAAGGTGCAGGTTCAGATACAGGTACAGGTTCAGATAGAGGAATGTGTTTCAGTTACAAGTTCAGGTCCAGGCACAGGTTTAGGTACAGGGAGAGGCACAGATTCATGTACAAGCACAGATACAGGTACTAATACGGGTACAGAGGCACAGGGGCAAGCACAGGTTCAGCTTCAAGTCCAGGTTTATGTACAGGTACAGGCCCAGGTAGAAGCACAGGTTCGGGTATCGGCCCAGATTCAGGTTCAGGCACAGGTACAATCGCGGGCTGAGGCTCATGAACAGGCTCAGGGACAAGGGCAGGTTTTTATGTCCATATTCATGTTCAGCTCCGAGGTCCCCTCAGCGCTGCTCCCCCCGCCCCGAGACGGGAGCGGCTCCCGGGGGGGCGGAGCCTCCGTTTGAACTCAAACCGCCTCCGCCGCTTCCCATTGGCTCCGCCGCGCGTCGCGCGCCGCCCCTTCCACCAATCAGAGGCCGCCGCGCTCCTTTTCAAAATCTCAACCGTCAGCATCTGGATTCGCTTCTCCTTCCGCCCGTCGGGCACCGCGCAAAGCTAAAAGAGACCCGGGGCCCGGTGCCGCCTGTCGCGGACGGGCGGGCTCGGCGCAGTCCCTCAGCCACGGCGGCCGCCAGCAGTGGAAAGCGGCGGCAGCGGCGGCTCCCCCTCCGGTCCGCCTGAGCGGCTCCCGGAGGCTTCGTTTCGGTGCGTGGCGGAGGGATACACCGCCCAAACACGGTGGGGTGCGCGGTCACAGGGGCTGGTGCGCGCGCGGGAAGGGCTCAGTCGGGGCCGCGCCGTGACGGGAGAGCCGGGGGGGAGGGGGAGGCTCCGCCACACGGGGCCCCTCAGCGGCCGCCAGCGCTCCCAGGAACCAGGTACGGCCGGGCCGGAGGGTGAGGGGCCGGGGAAACCGGCTTTGGGGCGAGGGGTTGGGCCGCATGACACTCTCCGCTCGGTGACTGCCCACCCTGCGGTGGTGGCTGTCGGCCCCTCCCGGGGTTTTATTTCTCCCTTCCTCCGTGTTTATGTGCCCCCCACCTCCACCGGTGGCTGTGGCTGCCCGGAGCCCGGGCTCGTAAATTCCGGCTTGTGCAGCCCGTGTGGGTTTTTTTGGCTTGCAGGATCCGGTGGGTGCTGTGAACAGGGTGCTCTGAGTGCAGGACTCCCAATACTGTCGTTCCCTGCAAGGCACAGGCCAAGGGGGCTCCTGAGGGCACTGTCAGGCTCTCCTCCAGCTGGGGCTTGTTGTCAACGAGTGTTTTATCCGAGCAAAAAATTACAGAAGGGTCTCTCTTAACTGCATTTAATTCCCTTCCTGCTTTCAGTATAGTCTTTTTATATAGGCTTCTTTGAGGATCTCTTGTGCTTCGTGACACTCTCGTATCTACACGTGAAATAACTCAGATTACATGAAAGTGTATAAAAAGTGTATCTGGTTGTGCAAATGGGTTTTAATCAGTTAAATTCTGTTCCTCCTCTTTCTTCTTCAAAGGCTCTAGTGGGTAGCAAATACTTCTTAAGTAAATAAAATAGTCTGACTTTACGTAAGCATATTCCCAGTTTTCTACAGAGGGAGACACATGGAAACAGCACTGAGGTTCTTCTGTCCGTTGGAATATGTTGAACAAAAATAGCATATAAAAATGTAAATCAATTCGCTCTCATAGAATATTACTGGGATGAACAATCTGGGTGTTCTTTTCCAGGTAAGGTTCTTCCCTACATTCCAAGATGCCGCGCTACGGGAAAATTGTTGTCATTAAAAGGAACGGGACTGATGGAATTGTTTTCCGCTCACCTCGACTTCTTGTTTATTTGGAAGGTGAGAATTCGTTGAGCACTTGCACACATAGAAATAATGAGTGATGTTTCCTTGCAGATTAGATCTTTTAATACTTATTTGTGAAAATAAATGTTTGTTTGTGAATGATGCACAGTGGGGGGAAGGTAATCCTGGACTAATTAATTGTAGGACCAGAAAACTGAACTTCTTTTTTGTTACTGCTTTTTGTCCTTTCCTTACCAGAACTACTTCTATCTATCTATCTATCTATCTATCTATCTATTTATTTATTTATTTTAAGTGTCTGGCCAAAAGAAATCTGGGGAAGGGATTAAAAGTAATCCACAATTTATAAACAGGTGCTGAAATTGTCTTACCTAGAGACAGTTTCCAGATAACTGACAAGTGAAAACAAGTTTTCATTTACTTTTTTGTACCTCAGAACCTCACTAATGGAAGATGTCAACCAAAACTAGAATTAATATTAAGAATCTATACCTCCTTCTCCAGTCTTGAAACTAACCTTACTCACTTGAGTGATAGTGGGTTGTGAGCTTGATGCAGATGTTTTACATTGAAAAATAAAATTAATGTGCCCAAATAGGATGTCTGAAGACTTGACTATATGATCTTACTGTAAATAGGCTGCAAGTTAAATATTTTTATTTATCTTAAACTAGGCCTGTTCAGTGCTTTGCTGATTATATTACCTTAAATAATTGTAATTGTTCAGTCCAGAATCACACCCCATGGTGAAAGTCTCTGAGAAGTTCTCCAGTGTCAATGATATTGTTCTTTGGCTGGAGCAGAGCTGCCCAGACAGGTGATAATGAATGGTGCAAACACTGATTTCGGGCAGGTACAAATTTCCCCAAGTACTAATTTCAGCAGGTACTGTGCACAGTAGTTGTTATGTTTCCTGCCTAAGACCTACAGCACATCAAAAGCATTAGAGATTAGCTAAAAAAAAGGAGAGACAAGGAAAGTTTGTACACTTAAAATCATGTTTTTCTTCCCTAGCAACTTTTAGGGAGGTAAAAGTGCTTATCTAGGTGAGACCAAAAGTTCTCAGATCAGTAACAAAGGGCTAAGAAAGAGCTTAAAAGCATGTGCTGATATTGCATAGAAATATTCCACAAGTCTTGAGGAAACTTGGGAAACAATCTCAAACCACCAGTTGTCTGTTGTAGTCATGTCTCTGCTTGTTGTGATCTGCTTTTTTGAGAGTTTGGGTATTTCATGTATTGTTTCTGACGTGGATTCTCTGACATGTGAGCTGCTATTTTTTTCCCAAACGTCAAAGATTTTTAGGTAGTTAATTTTTTTCCCAGTTTTAGAAATCACCCTTCTGTACAATTATTAACTAAAATATTGGGAAATCCCCTAACTCTAGAGCAGATTTTTCTGTGTCCTGTGTGAGACTCAAACTGTCTTTCCCCCCAGGAAAAAAGAGTGTGACATCCGCATGCGACTGCCCTGGGTCTCCAACGAGCACTGTAAAATCGAAATAAACGAGAACAAGGAGGTAAGATCTGCATGTTTTCATACCACAAGCATTGCCAGGTTGCACCTCAGCAGGGCCACTGAAATATTTGTTCTCTTTTCAGGCAGTACTGACTAATTTGAGCGCAGTAAACCCCACACAGCTGAACGGGGTTTGCTTTGAGCAGCCTGTTCCTCTGAAACACGGCGATGTCTTAACTATTATCGATCGTTCTTTCAGGTGGGTACCAGTGCCAAACTGTTCATTAATTGATCCAAGAATGGAACTTCATGTAGCTTATTTATTTCATATTTCTTTACACTTGATTTCGTATTTCTTTACTTGTTTATTACTCGATCCGAGAATGTGTTTATTTCATATTTCTTTACAAAGTCTTACAGACCTTTGTCAGAAGACAGGATTGCTTGAAGATTCTGGGTTTTTTATTACTCATGTTAAGCTAAATCAATAAAGATAAAACTGTCTTCAGAGATTGTTTTGGGTTTGTTTCCAGTGTAGTCAGTTTTAGGGATAAGTTTAGAAGTATTTTTAAGTTGTTAAAACCTTTAAAAGTGACTTGTGTATTGTTGGGAGGGCACAACAATTTCTAGGTCTTTTATTTTGGTAATAGGAATTTAGTCATCAACTCTTTGATGAAAAATCGGTGTATTTTAAAATATTTCTTTCAGATTTGAATATCCTCTCCAGCCAACTCCAAAGAAGAGGCGTTCCAGGTCTCCAAAAGATGAAACTCTCCAGGTAAATTTGTTGCCATGGGCTCTTCTGTTACAAGTACATTGGTGTCAGTAGTGATACAGTGTTTTATTTCTTTGTTGTATTTTCTTCTTAGGAATAACATTTCAGCCCTAAACTACCTTTGTATCTGAAAATACAAATAAACTCCTTCAGATAAATACTTTAAAAAATTCAGTGATTTTAAGCTTGTCAGTTTTTGCTAATAGATAATTAATAACCTGTGATGTTACTAATACAGGTGAAGCTATAAATCTTCCACTAAGTCTGTTAAGAAGGGGAGATTCAAAAGTGCTGGTTTATATTCTTATGCTTCAACTGCTTTTAGAGCTAATAATGCTAAAACAAGATAAATTTCTGCTCTGTAGGGCCTCAAACATGTTGGTCAATGTTCTTAAATATTGAGATATTCTGGGATTTGATTTGAATACTTTTAAACCTGTTTAGTAAACAATGTATATGCTTTTATAAAGAGTTTTTTCAACGTACAGTTGAAAGCTAAACTGTAAAATACTTGTTGCTGGGCTGTAATGTTGTACAAATTTACAGGTTCTTCATGTTCAGCAGGTGGCAGAAGTGGAATTATTACACAAACAAACTTCAGGATCTAAAAGTCTTGGTGCTTCAGGTTGGTACCCATTTTATGGGGTTTGTTTTCTTGGGTCCCCTTAACTGCATTCATTCTTGGCATAAGAAGAAAAACAAGGTTGGAAAGAGTAGAAAAAAAGGCATTTTAAGACTCTTGAATCTGACAACACCTTGCTGTGGCAGTGACTATCTCATTATACCTACATGCTGGGATATCCCAAATCTAAATCCTGCCAGGAGAAATCACTTAAGTGCATCCTGACAAATGGGCAGGAACAACCTGGAATAGGCAAAATTCATAGAGATTGCTTTCAGTGATTTAGGCACATTCCATTTGGAAAGGATGGTCAGTTCACCGGCTTTGTAAGTGCAGTACAAATGTGAGTTGAAACTGGTATTTGAAACAATTTCCAGTTACATTTTACTTTGCAGAGGCAGCAAACACTTAGCATGTGGCACATTCACCTTTTTGATTAAAATTTACCTTGCAGTTCTCTGCTAGATCTCTTTTGAGCAAGTATTGCATTATCTCCTGTATTTTTTCCCAATAAGGAATTGAAATAAATATAATTTTGGGGGTATACATTGAAGTAATTGTTTGCAGTAACTGCTTCATGTAGAAGCAGAAAAATTTAGAGCTTCCAAGTCTGGTAGTTATAGCCCATGAACTGGTTAAATGCCAGGACTTTACCTTCCCATCCTTCTTGTCTTAAACAAGGATACAAAGATACTTTGTAAAGATACAAAGTTTTTTAGGGGAAGGCTTTTTATCTACAAACGGATTTGATTCTTATGACAAATATTCCAGTTTTAAAAGCCAAGGCTGTTTTCACGTATTCCATTTCAGTGGACCCTTCAGTTGACTGTCTTGGAAGAGGAATGGAAGAAATTTTTAATCTGTATTTATGGAACTTATATTTGTACTTCTGCAATTTTTAAGTAACTTTCTGTATGACTTTTTGTTTTGCTTTCCTTCCTTTACAGATAATGCTGAGTGTGAAGAAAAAACTGCCAATGAAAATAAACAAACCACAGAGGGAAATGTATCCAAAACTTTACCTGCTGAAACAAAAACACCCAAACCTTCACACAGAATACATCGAGTTATTAAAAAGCAAAATGAGATGTCTCCCTTTACTCATCTCTATGAAAAGCTGAAACATGATATGCAAATGGAAAAATCTCTGCACAGGGGAAATGACTCCCAACAAGCTGCGAGAAAAGGTGGGGAGAGCGTTGTGCCAGAGCCAAGGGCTCAGGTTTCATCACCAGCTTGTGATCTGGGCAGCCTGAATAAAGCAAAAGAAGGAGGCAGAAGTGGAAATATGGAAGAATGTGTAATTGTAAGGAGTGAAGTGAACCACTCTGGGTTTCAGCAGCTGGCAGCTGGAGGAGGTGCTCCCAGGAGGAGTTTTCCCAGGAGAAGCTTTCCCAGAAGTCTTCCAACTTCTCTTTCGCAGGAGGTGTCAAGAGATACCAGTCAGAGTCACTTGCAGGGTCCTGAGGAACTGAGCACCCCAGGCAGATCTAAAGGTGCCAAGGTTACTCCCAGCAGGGAGAATGGTGGGAATTCCCTGTTTTCACTGCAGCAGTGCTCCATAGAACGCTTGAATTCTTCAGTTATGGAGAAAACACGTGTCTCTACGACTCACACCCCAAAGCTTTCTGAAGCAGATAAACACGTGCTGTCCACACCGAGGCCCAGGAGGAAGAGCCCTCGCTCTCTTTTCGTGTCTCCGTCCAAGGAAACCACTGGAATGACTCCTGTGAACGCTGATACTCCAACCACCCGCCGGCGTGTGTCACTGAAACCCGAGTGTCCATCAGAAATTCCAGCTGAAACTCCAAGGGAAGGTTCAGACACCACACAACTGCCCTTCCCAGAAAACAAATCCCTAAAGCAAAGACGACGTAGCAAAGAACACGCATCAGGAACACCTGCACAAGAAGTGCTGAAGGAAATCAGTGATCAGGCAAACTTTGTTACCTCAGAGGTGCAACTGCCTGAAAGTCCGGCTTCTTTCTCCAAGAGTCCCAGAAGAAATAGCAGGCAGAGTAAAGAATTCGTGGACAAAAGTGTCCATTCAGAGACACTGGCTTCAGAAGAGTTAATGGCATCTCCTGCTGGTCAGACACCTGGCTCTGGGAGGAAAAGGGGAAGGCCAAGGAGCTCTGAGAGGAAAAGGGGAAGGCCAAGGAGCTCTGGAATGCTGACTGAAACAGCAATAGAGGCAAACACTGTGCAAGAAGATCCTGGTAAGATGAGAGACAGAGAAAAGAGTGGAACTCCAGCAGAACTGGCCATGCAGGGGCATCACCAGAAACAAGACTTGGAAGATGCTGGTGATATCAGACCATGTGGACTGTCAGCAAAGAGAGGTTCTGGAAGTGCTCCTGTTCTGGAAGACAACAAGGCTGTCCCAGAAACAAATATTTCTGACCTGTTGGGTGGAGAAGACTCAGGTAAAATAGCATTTCATCCACTGCCTTGTTTTCGTATTTGAGAAATTCTTAAAACACCTTTCTGAGAATTTTAACACCTACATAAAATATAGAACCAATTGCTGACATTAGTTCTAAAATATGTAGTTATATATGGTCATAACAATACTCAATAACATGTATTAAAATTTCCTCAATTAAATCTATTTCTCTTTAAGGTAAATTCCCATCTGGTTCATTTCCAACTTCAACATACACAAGGGAACGTTGCTTTCCATGTGGGTTAAAATGTTGACTTGGATTCTTAGCAATATTTTCAATTGCACTTTTTAGGCAAGAGAAGAAGATTATCTCAGAAGAGGAAAAGTGGTGATTCGCTCCTTCAGGCTTCAGGAAAAAGAAAGAGAGTGTCCTTTGGTGGCCATCTGAGTCCAGAACTTTTTGATAAAAGTTTACCTCCCAACTCTCCCCTTAAAAGAGGAGCTCTACCTGCCAGGCTGAGCTTGCCCTATGGAACCTCACCTCGTGCTGTGCTGAAAAAGGCTCAGGGATTGAAGCTCTTCACAGACCAGGTAAATTTTAGAACTGATCAAGTTGCTAAGACCATTACTGTGAACAGAATTTATAAATTATATTGTATTTTTTAATTCTATTATTTATTATTCAAAATTAGTAGCAAACCTTGTTTGATGTATGTTGGTGTCACAAGTGAGTGTTTTAGGATGCTCAGAGAATCACCAGCAAAGGCATTGGCAAAAGCAGTTTATTATGAAGTGAAAGTGCAACAAAGTTCATGGGCAAGGTCACTCTGCAATTTACTAGATGGTTACAGCACACAGAGAAAAATCAGATTAAAATCAATCACTCTGAAACTAAAATCTATGTAAAATGATCCAAGTGGAGGCTGGGCGTGGAAAAAGGGTAAGGATGGGAAAGGCTAAGAATAAAAAGGACTAAGGAGACCCTCCCATTGAGTAACAATGCTGTTAAAGCAAAAACTGGGGCTCTACTGTGGGTAGGGTCATAAGTGAAGTTCATCAGATGCCACCAAGATTGAAATTCTCTTTCAAATTCATTGGCATTATCCCAGATTACCTTAAAAATTGAAGTGGGCAATGGACCTTCACCACCCTCCCTTAGAATTGTTTAAATTGTATCGTGGATGCAGCTCAGAGCATGAGAAGGGTTGGTTTGGGAGGCACCTGGGCTGTTCCCTATGAGCTGGTGACACTTTCCATCAGTTCTGCTCCAGTGAGGGAATAGATCTGATAGGAGTCATTGAGTAGTTCCTATAAGGAAGATAGCAGTGAATGTTTCAGTTGGGATAAATCACTTGATACTGAGTTTATTTTGTTTGCTGGGACAAACTAATGGGACATCCATGCTACTTAATCCTCCTAGTCCAGTCCCCAGGATACCAGTCCCATCTCTCCCTGAACCTTTTGGAGAGCTGGGAGTCACTCCACAGGACTCTTCAGAGGATGGAGATAGGAATGCTGACCAGACAGGTTCAGTTATTAATCTGCATTGATAATTCCAGTGCTTTTGAGGGACCACGAAGGATTAAATAACACCAGTTTCTGTAGATTTGATGGCATAGGATCAAATCTTAAAAATCTGTGGAGAGGAGCTTCCACCAGTCCTGTCAGGAGCCTGGGAGGTAGTGGGATGTGTTGTGAGGTTTAAGTCAGTCTTTGTTGTGCCAGTACACATGGTTACAGTTGTTGTTACCTTATACTCCTTCCCTTTCCATACTTTGTTTCAGTGTGATGCACATTTGAGTTTAAGTATAGTTATGAGTTCCCACAGAGACTGTTACAGATGAAAGGAGTGAGGCTTTCAACCCTCAGTGGGTTGAGCCTGTTGATGTCTGCGCCCAGCTTGGTTCATTCTGGCCCTGATTGCTTCTATGAGAAGGATAAACAATCCTTCAGTGGACAACTTGATCTTCAGTGCAGATGTGCTGAAAAACTACTCCATTAAAAAGAAGAAAAAAATCCCCAAATCCACCACGTGTTAATTCTATGTTGTTGGGTTTGTTGTTTTGTTTTTTTTTTTACCAGGAAGAACAAATGTCACTAAGAAGTTTGCCAGCCCAGAAGTCCCCAGCTGCCTCCTCCCCTCCCTCAGGGAAGGCAACACCCCAAGTTCCTTCAGGCTCTCCAACCCCTTCCAGGAAAGGGCGTTTCTCCATTTCCCAGCTCCTGATGCCACTCCCGATCCCAGAGGAGAAGGATTCTGGTGCACAGGACCTGAATGCAAAGGAGAAAAGTGGTGTGAGGGTGAAAACACCTCAATCTTCCCCCATTAACCAAGATGACAAAACCTTTGCAGCAGCTACACCTACCAAACTAACCAGGCGTTCCCAAGTGGGTTCGAAGGGCACTTCCATGAAGAGAAGGAGCGGGGCTGTGGGAGTTCTCCATGCAAAGAGAAGGAGTGGTGCCTCCAGTGCCAATTTATTAGGTTTGTTTCAGCAGCTGATTTGAAATATTCATTTCAATGCTTTAAAATACAGAAACAAAACTGAACTAGGCTTGTTTGGTTATGCAGAGGCCACCAAGAGATTGTTGTGTCTTCTGACAGCTGTTGGGTTTGTTGGAAGCAACTGGGAAGTGCAAAAATGTTGCATGTTGTTGTATTCATACAGCAATATTACTGAAATACCTATTAACCCATGTTTAGAACACAAAACTTTGTGTTCAGAAATTGAAAAACTGTAAAATTAGCATCCTCTTTGCAAGGTTAATTTCCAGTGCTTTTTCAGATAATTTCCTGGAAGCTTGGTATTTTTCCCTAAATCCAGAACACCTTTGCAATGACAGCTTTTCAGTTCTTTTCATTTACAGACTTGCACAGCAATTCTGACAGGGCAATAATAATATCCTTTTCTTTAGGAACAACATTCCCCTTTTTATTTCTACTTACAAAAAACTGACTTCTTTTGTATGATCCCTGTTTTCTCCCAGCTTCTTTTTTCTGAATTAAAAGAGGCAGATGTCCTACAAACTTCCAGCTCTATTTATTACACAGCCATAACTAATTCCCTGATGCCTCTGCTGTGTACAGAACCATGCTGGTATAAAGGTAACCTTGCTCTGGGAATTTTTGGAATCTGTAATAGGGAGGTGATACAAGGAAAATTACAAAAAACTGTGTAGATCTAAATGCTTTAAGCAGTATAAATAGAGTTTCCTGCCTAGGAAATTCCTCTGGAAGGCGATGAAAGAAAAGCTGGATATGCTTTGCTTCTAAACCATTTCTCTGATGTTAAATCTCACCAGAGGAAAGCTCATGGATCAATGAGTCTGAAAGGCTCATGGCAAGTTTTTTCAGGAAAAATTCTCTCCTTACAAAAAGAGTGAGAATGGAATTGGGTCAGTGTTCAGTTCTGGGATCTCACATCTCTTTGACACTGTGTGGAGTTCATTGTTTTGTTGTGGAAAGTCATCCTGGGGAAACTTGGCCAATTGTTAAATAGGGGTTTTCCAACTGGAAGTGTTTCAGAGAGCACTTTTTGGTGTTGTCAGATGATACAACAACCTCTTTCCTGTGTCTGACTGCATTGGGAAATCATAAAGAAAATCAATTGGAATCATAAAGAAATAATTGTGATCTTCCACTCAAACAACTGAGAGTTAAAGTAGTTATTTCTCACTTGCTTTCTAGTTGCAAAATCTTGGGCAGAAGTGGTAAAATCGGGTGTTGCAAGACCTCAGTCAAAGACTGCTAAGAAGAGTGTCCGAAGAGGAAGACCCCCAAAGAAGATAAACCAACCACCAAAGGTATTCTTTTCCTTTTTCGTGCTCACTTTGTTTTCTTGCATAACCACCAAACAGCTTGGACATATTTTTACTACAGAAGCTGGAGGCTCCTGAGCTCTCAGTGTCATATAAAATGGGTGTTGATGCCTTTGTCACGGAATGTAGGTTTAGTTTAAAGGAATCATAGAATCATTACGGTTGGAAAAACCTCCAGGGTCACTGAGTCCAATATTTGAGCAATAAGTGAGCTCCTTGAGCCTCCTTTTCTCCCAGCTGACCCTCCCACCAGCTCCCTAAGCTGGTCCTGGTGCTCCAGACCCTTTCCCAGCTCTGTTCCTTTCCCTGAGATCTGGGTAGATACATCCACAACCTTTCCTTCATCTACTGGATGGGTCACCTGGTCATAAAAGGTCAGGTTGGTCAGGCAGGACCTGCTTTTTCTAAGCCCCAGCTGGCTGAGCCTGCTCCTTGTTAGTCCTGTACGTGCCATGTGATCACACTGAAGCTGATCTGTTCCAGAACATTCCTGAGCACCAGGATCAGGCTGACAGGCCTGTAGTTCCCTGTGTTGTCCTTCCAACGCTTATAACTGGCACAGGACAACCTCCAGTCATGTGGGACCTGCCTGGTTAACCAGGAGTGATGACCAGTGATGGAGAGCGGCTTGGCCACCTCTTCGTCCAAGAAGAACCTTTAATAACTCTTATTTGTCTGTTTCCTATTGCCTCTGCAGACTCCAGAGAGGAAAATAAAAGGTCACTTCAGCACAGGTCATGCTGAGTCACCTGCTACAATAGTGGTAGGTAGAGCTTACTCCACCACACTCAGATCAGCTGGACACGTCCCTAAAGTGGTAAAAAACCCCATCTTGAAGCTCAACATGAATATGGATGAAAGCTTCACAGGTGAGATTTTAGTCTGTTGCTCACTCTGCCACCTGTGTAGTTCTTGTGTCAAAAACATGTGTTTATTTCTCCAAATACAATTTCTAGGACTGCCTGAGATGTTTCAAACTCCAGAAAATCAGAGTGGAAAAACATTACCTTTGGCTGCAGATTTTACACCAACCTGTGCTGCAGGGGACATTTCTGACTTGCACACCCCTGAAGAGTCTGGTATGTTTGTTATCTGAAAAAAGGGATATTTAGGTGTAATATGTGGTAGCTGTGGTTTCAGCCTGTGCAGACTTAAAGTATTGAGGTTGTCATGTGAAAAGGGGCAGAAAAGATGAATCTTCTGTCCAGCCTGTATTAATTTATTTGTTTGGCTGTCAGCATCCCCTGGGAGATCAAAGCCTTTTAATGTCCAAAACAGTCTGTTGAGACAAATGAGACCCTTTGCTTACAGATTAACCAAGACAGAGAGAACATTTGATACCTATTTGTATAAGGACTGCACTGAACAGCAGTAGGAAAGCCCCTCAGCAGGTTTCTCCTCTGAGTTATTTCACTGTCAGTGAAACTGTCAGCACCTAAAAACGGACTCACTCGAACAGTTCACGAAATAACACCTTTATTAATGCAAGTTTGTGACAGTTAAAGTACTATGGAGCAAAGGTAGAAGCAGTGTGTGTGTGTGAAGCCATCGCTCAGCCCACAGTGTCCCGAGAAGGTGGAGGGAGAAAAGGCAGCCCCTCCGTTTCTTCTGCAGCGCTGATGGAACTTCTCCTCGATTTTTGCTTATGTCCAATCTGTCTTTAGACCTTTTTCTTCAGGCAGTTTGAGTGTCTATAGTCAATAAACTAATTTTTGGGGTGATAGGCAGATGAAATAGGCCCAAGGGTCCACTTCCTGAATTTTCAGCGGCATCCAGGATGTTCAGATAAAAGGCCCTGTTATCTCCATATCACTCCTTTCTTCATTTTAATCCTCTTATTGGTTTCTAGGAATGTCTCACCAGGTGTGGGGTTTTTCCAGGAAACCATTAGGAGTCTTTTCTTTCTTTTGTGTGTCCCTATCTATCACCTTACAGAGCCGAAGCATCCATAACCCATAAAAAGAACCATTAATATTAATCATGTATCAAAAGAAAATTTTGTAGCTCCAATTAATTTCTGTGTAGGTGATTTTCTTATTCATTCTATTGGTGTGAAATTTAACTGTTGAACTATTGTTCATTACATAAATTTACTACTTATTCCAGGAGAGATGATGGTGTCACCCTTAAATAGTTCAGATGCTTCAGAACAGAAACAAGAGAGTCCAGACATTTGTCACTTGCTGAGAGAGAAGTCATCTCTAAGCTCTGTGTTTGATGAAATATCCACAAAAACTCCTGAAAAAGAAAAGCTGTGCAGGAAGATAATATTAATATGGATAGTTTATCAATGATTCCAGAAAAACAAGCATCTCTGGTGAAATCAGGAAGGAAAAGGAGAACTCCAAAGCAGAAGCTGGAGCCAGCTGAGGTCATGTCAGGCATCAAGCAGCTTTTAAGGACCCCAGAGCAAGGGTCAGAGGCAGTAGAGTTCTTGTCTGGCATCAAGCAGCTCTTGAAGACCCCAAAGCAGAACAGCAGAGCCTGCAGAGGTTCTGTCAGGCATCAAACAGCTCTTGAAGACCCCAAAACAGAACACAGAGCCTACAGAGGTTCTGTCAGGCATCAAGCAGCTCTTGAAGACCCCAAAACAGAACACAGAGCCTACAGAGGTTCTGTCAGGCATCAAGCAGCTCTTGAAGACCCCAGAACAAAAACCTGAGCCTGCAGAGGCTTTGTCAGACATCAGGAGGCTCATGAGGACCCCGAAACAGAAACTGGAGCCTGCAGAGGCTTTGTCAGGCATCAGGAGGCTCATGAGGACCCCAAAACAGAAACTGGAGCCTGCAGAGGCTTTGTCAGGCATCAGGAGGCTCATGAGGACCCCGAAACAGAAACTGGAGCCTGCAGAGGCTTTTTCAGGCATCAAGCACCTGCTGAGGACCCCTCGGCAGAAACCAGAGCCAGTGGAGGACCTGACTGGCATTAGGCAGCTCATGAGGACCCCACAGCAAGAGCCAGAACCAGTTGTAGATGAAATTGCCCTTAAAAGGTTGCTGAAGACTCCAGTACAGAAGAGGAGAGCAGTAAAAGGCACGGCAGGTGTTACTTCAGTCAAGAAAACCCCAAAGCAGAAATACCCACCAGTTGAAGACATGGTTGGGATCAGCCGCATTTTCAAGACACCAAAGGAGAAGGTTCAACCCATAGAAAATATGTTTGGTATCAGCAGATTGGTGAGGTCTCCCAGACAGAAGAATCAACCAGTTGAGGATTTTGTAGGGCTGCAAAGGCTCATGGCAGAGCCCAGGCAGAAACCTTCTGCTGGTGAAGTGGACTATGTTGGAATGACAGAAATGTTTGATACACCAGAGAAAATGGAGGTAAAATTCTTTCTTTACCTTTTGGAAGGGCTATGTTTAGGCTTTGGAGCCTGTGGTTGAAAAGAATTGCTAGGCCTCCTAGGATGACATCTTGTGTCTTGGAGCCTTTTATAGGCAGCTACCTTTCCCTGTGTTAATATGTATTTTCTTTGAGGGGGTCCTGTGAAAGTAGCTCCTGAGGTTGCTCTGAGTGACCATTCTGACCTTAACAGTTCCCAGCTTCATCACTTGTGTAATTTGTGAATTTTATTGGTGCTGATTTTCATGTTCTGTAGGTAATATGCTGAGTATCACCGGGTTTAGTGCTTAGAACTACAATTGAACATAGCAAAACACTCCATTTTTCTTCAATACCCCAAGTTCTCTTTGAGCACTCATTGAGACACCTGTCAACCAATGGAGTTAATGTTACTTTTTAACTCTGCAGTGTTTGTTGTCTTTCACTTTAAAAACTGCTACACCACTTTAAGATGGCAAGAATTGTTTGCTACATTTGTGTGCTTACGGGAGTTATAAAATTAGTTGATTTCATTTTTAGGGAAAAGGATTTACCAAGAATTTTTACAAGTATTACTATACATTTTGTATTGGTTGGTTCCATAATTTCCTGTCCTGTCAAACAGGCATTTATGGGTTATTGTTTATTCCCTTAGGTAAGATCAGTAATGGATTCTCAGCAAGATTCTGCACCTCCTTGTTCTAATTCCAACCATAAACCTGGTGAGTACAACTCTTTGTTTAGAGGAATAATGAATATAAAAAGTAATGCACATTACCATGAAGTTCCAATCTTGTTTAAAGCTCTCAGTGAGCTCTGCTAATTCCTGAGCTAAGATCCCTCTTTCCCTTGGAGACAGGTGAACATATTAGTGTGAAAAAACTGATGTTAAGATTTCCACTTCAGATTATCTTTGCGAAGACTTTCAAGAGCATAATTGGTTAAAATATTTATTAATTTAAAAATTTTAAAATATTTAGTTTTTAAATAATTGTGATTTGTTTGAGAAAGGTGACTGTTAGGAAAATGGAAACTCACAGATACTTTGGTCTGGCATAGTAATGTTTAACTTTTCTCTGTGCTTTTTGCCCTGTTCTAGAAAATAAAGGAAATGTTTCCCAAGGTGAAGATTCTCCACAAAAGGAATCAACCAGTGCAGACCAGTCTCCCCAGAGACCAAGAAAGGGCAGGCCAAGGAGGACTGTCCATCCTGCTGCAGCAAAGCAGAGTGAAAAGGATGTAAATGTTAAAGAATTGCAAAATACAACCAGCACCCAAGAGGAGATGGGAGCAACCACACCCGAAAACAAAGGAAGAGGAAGGAGAGCAAAGCGTTGCCTACAAGAAGTTGTTTCAGAGCACCCTGATCAGGAACCACGTGGAGCTGCTCAAAGACCAGGAAGAGGTAAAAGGAACGAACTGAAGGAGTTAAAACATCCAAGTGAGACTCTTGAGTCTTGTGTTGAAGGTTCTTCAGTGCTACAAGAAGAGCCTGCAAGTATCAAACAGACTTTGCAGGAGTGTGGTGTCGGTGACATGTTAGAAAGTGGAGATGACCCAGCCAGAAAGACAGGACCTGGTAACATTCAGAATGAAAACTGTCAGCTGCAAACAGGTGATAATAAAGCTGATAGCAAATCTAATGACAGTGGTATAGAAGACAGTGAAGAAGTGCTTCTGTCACCTAGGAAGAGGACCAGAGGAGTAGAAAACACAGAACCACTGATTCCACCTAAAAGAGGAAGAAGAGCTAGAAACGACCAAGTTAAACAAGATCCTTCAGCAGAACTTCATGCAACAACAAGGAGGCTTCGTAAAGACCCACCAGGAAAAGTCCTACAAAGAGATGAACAGACTTTGGACAAGGATCCTGAGGCTGTCGCAGCAGAAGAACCTGAAAAGGGAACAAAACTTGAAGTACAGGTAACAGAGAAAAGAGTGAAGTCTTTAAGAAGTACTAGAAACAGAAAGCACTCAGCTGAAGGAAAAGCAGACATTTGTGGGGTCACACTTGATGAACACACACAGAACACTCAGAAAACTGAGGAAACATCGAGTCAAACTGAAGCACAACCACAAACCAAGAAGGAGAAAAAAGTATCTCAGGGATCTGAAACAGAAATTACAACAGAGGCATCTCAAAAATTAAAGCCAGAGCCACCATCTCAGGAGACAAACACACTGCCAGTCACTGCTGTGAACATGGAAGCAAACAGAAGGGCAACACAGGAAACAAATAGGACGAGGAGCAGGAGAGGCAAAAAAGACTCTTTGGAGCAAAAGACACAGGAATTTACCGAAGATGGGAGCAACCTAAAAGTAATTCCTTCCAAGTTTAGGTCAGACACAGAAGTGGATGAATCTCTCAAAGATTCTTTGGGCTCTGTTTGTGTCAAGGACACATCCCAAGTCACAAAGGAGCAGAACAGCCCAGCTGCCATGTCAGTACCTGCTGCAAACAGTGACAGTCTTGCTTCTGGCCATCAAAAACGGACAAGAAACCAACGGGGAATACTTAAAACAAAAGAAACTGAAATCCTGCAGGAGAACCCAGCACAAAGAGACAGAGCAGCGTTTAGAAAAGGTAAAAAAGTTAATTTTGAACTTGGAGAAGGCAGTTCCAAAGAGGTTGAAATAAAAAGCAGTTTACCTGGGGACGCTGAAGGAGTGACTGACAACAATCAACATGAGAATTTGGAAAATGCTTCTTCACGAGTGAGGAGGGGCAGAAGAAAGCAGGTTGATTCCATTCCACAAACAGCCAGTCCTACCCTTGTGGAAAAACAAACTTTAAGTGCAGATCACAGTAAAGATGAGGCTTTTGAGAAGGAGCAAGATGCAGCTTTGGAAGGTACTCCCTGTTCAGTTGAAGCCAATCCACCGAGACGAGGGAGAAGACGAGAGGTTGGTGCAGCATCACAGCCATCGAGGTCTCCTTCTGTCAGAACGAGACGTGGGTTGCTGGAAGGAGGTGATAAAAAGATGACTGTGAGGGAAGATGAAAATACAGCTTTGGGAAATAAAACTTCTCAGGCAAAAGCAAATGCATCAGCAAGGGACAGGAGGAGGAAGATTGATCTTGCAGCAGAGGCAAAAAGTTCAGCTCCTCTCCAGAGAACACGTGGCTTGTCAGAGACTGATGCTAAAGATGGGGGAGCTAATGAAGAACAAAGTGTGCCTTTGGAAACAGTGTCCTGTGCAGAAGAGAAGCCATCAGGAAGGGGCAGAAGGAAAGAAACTGCACTGGCATCACACACAACAAATTCCATTCCTCTGAGAGGGAGACGTGGTTTACCAGCAGGATAATGGTAAGGAAGACAATCCCAAAAAAGAGCAAACCATTCCCTTAAAAACTGGTGATTCACCTGTAAAAGAAAATCAACTGAGAAAAAGCAGGAGGAAAGAAATTGCCCTCAAAGAAGCCTCAAGTCCTAATCAGGGAGAGCAGGGCTCATTGAAACAAAGTGGCAGGAAGAATAACTATAGGGAAGCAAAAAAAGTGAGTTGGGACAATTCTTCCCAAGAAAACAGTGATCTTTCAAAAGAGAACTTGAGGCAAACAAGCACTTCAATGGCTGGTACTTCCACCTCACTTCAAGGTTTGCCAGAAGATGGTAAGAGTGGAGCTCCTGAAGAACAGCAGAGTAAACTTTTAGAAGGAACTCCATCTGCAAAAGAAAATCCATCAAGAGTGAGCAGAAGGAAAACACTTCTTCCACATCTGAAGAAACTCCTTCCACTTCTCTCAGGGAAAAATCCAACCTGCCCAAAGGTAGAGGGCAAAAGAGGATTCTTAAAGAAGATGAAGCTACACCTGCAGAAAATAATTCATGCCGGGGAAGAACGAGGCAAGCGAGGAATAACAGCAGGGAGGTACAATTCACATCAGAGGCAGCTACTTCTACTTCTCTCCATAAGAACAGTGAGTCACCTGAAAATGGAAGTGCTCTGGAAACCAAGAATTTGTGTGTGACATCCACTGGTTGTGAGGGCAGGAATCGGTCTGGAAAAGGAAAGGAGGGGAACCCTGTGCCGGAGGCAACGTCCACTTCTCGCAAAAGAAAGTGTCAGCTGCCAGCAGATGACTCAGCACCCAAAAGACTAAAATCAGGTGAGTGAGAATTTGCTTTCTCTCTTCTAAGGGTGGCCAAGTCATGTACAGATACAGCAATAATGTGTGCAAAGCTCACACAAATGTGATATAACTTAAAAACCGCCGTGATGCAAATATGATCAAACAAACATTGAAATAGAGGTGACAGTGACTCTTTGGAGCTCCATATTGAGGAGTTTCCTGCCAAAAAACTTAGATTTTTATGTTTGCAGGACTTTCCTTGGGTGTTGGTGATGTTTTAAGTTTTACAGTTCAGTGGGAGGAATTTTACCTCAAATGGCAGCTAATTGGTTTTGGTGCTCTCATTAATGTTAACCTACTTTTGGAAATAGCTGTAAATCCTCAGGGATGCAACTTAAAAGGATACTGGATGTGCAGAAGGATGGGGTTTGTATCTGGTTTGTTGGATTTCAGAGATGTAATCTTTGGAATGTTGTCAGTAGGGACGTTTCCCTTAAAAACAATGGAAGTGAAGATGAAAATTTGTGTGAATTGTTTGGTTAGTGGTACAAATTTACAGTCAATTTCTCTGTGTATAAATAGGGAATGCTGAAAACGGATCGCTGGGAAAAGGAAAAAGGAACAAAACCAAGGAAGAACTTGGGAAAGAGAATGTGAGGGCAGCTCAGACCTCTGGAGTCATGGACAGGAAGACAAGATCCAGCACAAGAACAAGGAAATAGTTTTAAGAGTCCCAGAACCAGTTTTTAAATCAATTCAGTCATTAAAATTCCAGTTTGGTTTGGTTTTTTTTTAAATGTGAATTGATTTGCACTCAGATTTTAAGCTCAGATTTTGATAATTCAGGCATTGCTTTACAAAATGTTTCGTACTGTGTTTTTTTAACAGCTTTGTCTATGTGTGGTGTTTCCTGAACCAGAGGTGCTTGTGCAAAGCTGCAGACATAAAAATACATCTTGTTACACCAGTATTGGTCCAATTTTTCTGTTAATTAGTACAGCAATCAGGAAGCCATATTACTGCCAGGTGAAGTTATTTTCTGCTTGAATTTTTATATGCTTAAGTTTTATTTTTCATTAGAGCTCTGTAAATATTCTTTTAAAAAACTATGGCTGTATTAGAACTATTATACGGAAATTTTGATAAATTTTTTTAAAAAAATTAAGTTCTTTTTACTGAAAAATGGAGATTTTTAAGTCATTAAACCTGTAAACAATTTGGAACCTTGTGTGTTTTGTGTTTCTAAGAGTAGTTAAGAATGTGTAATTACTACTGTCTTCTCCCAGGTTTATTTCTAAGATTCCTTCTCTCTGGGGTGGTTTGGAGATGGTTTTTAGGATCTTTTATGGGTAATTTGTCATTGAGGCTGGTGGCTTCTTGTTAATTTATTCAATGCAGCAACAGAGAAAATTCAGCCTGGACGTGGAAATTCTGGGGAGATTTTAGACCTGAATTAAAATCCTGAAACTTTCTGTGGTCTGGGAGGAGTTGGGGATGTTCCTACAGCTGGAATCATAGGATTCTTAAGGTTGGAAAACATCTCTAAAGCAAAGTCCAACTGTTCCCCAGCACTATGTCCTCAAGTGCTACATGCACATGTTTTTTGAGAGCTTCCAGGGATGGGGACTCCCCCTCTGCCCCGGGCAGCTGTGCCGGGGCTGGACAGCCCTTTCTATGAAGAAATTTTCCCAATATCCAACCTCAGCTTGAGGCTGTTTCCTCTCCTCCTGTCCCTTGTTCCCTGGGAACAGAGCCTGAACCCCTCTGGCTCCCCCCTCCTGTCAGGGAGTTGCAGAGCCAGAAGGTCCCCCCTGAGCCTCCTTTTCTCCAGGCTGAGCCCCCCCAGCTCCCTCAGCTGCTCCAGACCCTTCCCCATCTCTGTTCCCTTCCCTGGACACGCTCCAGCCCCTCAATGTCCTTGCAGTGGGGGACCCCAGTTGGACTTTCCATTGCCCAGGACCGGTGGATGGAATATCCCTCTTGACCCAGTACCACATTAAAGATGTTCCTTGTGCCCTGAGTCAGCCTTCAGTTATCACTTTAGAACTGAAAATTATTTTTTCCAGCTTCGATTTCAGCCTCCATGTGTGAGGAACATCTTTACCCCAAATGTTCCTGTGGCACAGGATTGGTGATTTTTTTCCCCCATCTTTCACGTCATGAGGCTTTGTGCATCTTGTCACAACAACACCTGAATTAGGATTTCTGGGCTGTTCTTAAGGAGTTTTTGGAATTGTACCTCTTTTGTTGGATCTGTGTTTTATGCTAAATCCCAGCAGGATGAGCAACTCCAGTTTCCTCTTACTCTACAAAAGGGTCTTTTACTCCTCACTTTTGCAATGAAGACAGGCTGGGAGAGCTGGGGGTGTTCACCTGGAGAAGGGGAGGCTCCAGGGAGACCTGAGAGCCCCTTCCAGTGCCTAAAGGGGCTCCGGGACAGCTGGAGAAGGTGGACAAGAGCCTGGAGGGCCAGGACAAGGGGGAATGGCTTCCCACTGCCAGAGGGCAGGGTTAGCTGGGATATTGGGATGGAATTGTTGGGGGTGAGGGTGGGCAGGCCCTGGCACAGGTTGCCCAGAGAAGCTGTGGCTGCCCCATCCCTGGAAGTGTCAAAGGCCAGGTTGGACGTGTTTGTTTTCTGTTGCAGTAAAGGCTTTAAAGAGGGTTTTAAACTGGTGGTTTGTGTGTGAACTGAAGAATATTTTGTTTTCAATAGGATTTGAAGATCAGTGTTCTGTGCACTTGATTCTCAGAAGAAACAGAAGCCATGATTTTGAGTAAATCACATCTATTTAACATAGAAGGGAGAAAAATAAATTGGGGAGGAGAGGGAAGAATATTAATAAAAACTGATCCAAGCAATAAAAAGCACATGAGAAGTGGAGAGTGGAATATATTTTGGTGGGGTTTGCAGGGAATTTTTTTTTGTGTTTTTTTTTTTGTTTGTTTGGGGGTTTTTTGTGAGTTTTGGTTTTGTGGGTGGTTTTTGTTTTGTTTTGTTTTGTGGGTTTTATGTGGTTTTTTTTTTTTATTTGGGTTGTTTGTTTTGTTTTGGGGTTTAGGTTTTTGGTGGGTTTTGTTTGGTTGGTCCTTTGTTTTCTTTTGTTTATTTTGGGTTTTTTTCCTTCTGTTTTGTGGGTTTTTGTTGCTGTTTTTTGGTTGTTTGGTTTTTGTTTGGTTGGTTTCTTTTCTTTAAAAAAATCTGTTTCCCAACCATGGCAACCCTAAAACTTTAGCCCTCAAATCTCACAGGAAAGCAAAATTCTATCACTTCCCCTAAAATAAGAATGATCTCTGTGTAAGCACCTCCCCAAATGCCATGGCTGGGAAATCAAGGACACACTGAGGGATGTTTTCTGATGCTAATAACTGATGTTTGCTTTTCTTCTCCAATCGCTCTGATGTGTCATTTTTGTGCCTGGTCCTTTTTTGAAATCTAACAGAAGGCCAGATCAGATTAAATGAATTCTCCCCTTCCAGCCAAAACTTTTGGGAATTGTGTACTTTTCTCGTTCCCACTTTCCTCCAGCTTTGGTCTGAAGATTGATAAGGAATATAGGAGTTTTCTCTAAGTTAGACAGTAAAGTCTCTCCTTAAGGGGTGTTGCTTTTCTAGGAAGAGAAGAGATCTCTGAAGTTAGACCCTGGTGCAAGACTAACTCCTCCTTTGCCTGGAATGCCAGGAACACACAGCCATGAAGATCAGTGCAAGTCCAGATCTATTTCATGAAGAGATGGACAAGACAGGATGGGAAGTCCTTAGAGTAAAAAATGTTTACCTGTGAAAGTCTCACGGTAAGTGATGTTGTTAAATCAGTTGTGGGAATGTTCTTGGCCGACCAGGAAAACCAGCAGGAGAACAAGGTAAGTGGCTGATGGATTTGATCCAAACCTGGATTTGGTTGTGAGAGCACCATAGATACACAGACTTCAGCTTTGCTCCCAATTCAGAATGTTTCCAGAGTAGATTTCCTTGGAGCTCTTTTTATGATATTTAATGTGAGATTTAACATGAATTCATTTATAAGGATGTATTGCATGGGCAACTGTATTTCCACTCAAAAAATGTGACATTGCAAATCTTCCTCAGAAGTTTTGTTGATGAACTTCCCTGCAAGAAGCTTTTAACTGAGGGGTCACCCAACGAAACAAGGCTTCTCTTTCCTCTAGGAAATTTCTTCCCTAGAAAAACTTCAAGGCTCGTGATTTCTGTAGTGTCACATCTTCACAGTTGGTTGTGTGGCAACACAAATCTAAAAAAAAAAACGAAAAAAAGGAAACATGGTAGAAAAAGTTCAATGCCACCTTTTCTACATTGTCAGTTTTTAAAGTTTTTGATCTGGACCCTTTTTTTAAGGAAAGAAAGAAGAGAACAGGGCATAAAGTCAGGAAGCAGAGGTTGTCGTGCTCATAAAATTATCCACGACTGTGCCTGTATTTACAAGTTGCCAGGGAGATATATAAATATATATTTTTACATCTACAAATTTGTTTAAAAGGTAATTTGTCAAGTGCTTTTGAATGAGTGGTAAAGATCAAATAAGTACTTTAAATCCTGTTTAAATAGGGAGAACTGACTGTTGATGCTATTTAATGTTATAATCTCATGGAGTCACTTATGTTGGAAAAGCCCTCTAAGATCATCGAGTCCAGCTATTCCCCCAGCACTACCAGGGCCATCCCTAACCCATGTCCCCAGGTGCCACATGGCTTTTAAATCCCTCCAGGGTATTTATTATTTAAGCATTATTTTTCTAGGGGTGTTTGTAGGAACTTCCTTTTGATGTGTTTGTCACCCCTGGGCTGTCAGTTGTCACCGATCTGCATCAGTTCACTGTGGGAACCTACACACTCTACCTGCACTCTAAATTTAATCTCCACACTTATTAAAAATAAATTACATAAATAAGATTGAAAAAGCAACTTGATCATCATGGAGGGCTTAAAAACCTTCCAAAAATTCCTGTCAACAGAACTGGATTTTAATATTTCAAACCTGCCTTGTCATCAGTGCCACAGTTCTGTCCGTTCCTGCCACTCTCCTTCATACCCAACATCCTGTCAGAGCACTGCAAGTTCTTGGCTTGAAAGAGTTTCTTGACAGCAAGACCAGCTCCTTAATTACCTGGAGTGAGGAAAGAAAACTTGGATTGGTTTGGATTTTCCACCTTTTAGTTTTCTCTTTCCCTGCCTCTCCTCTCCTGACGTGACATTGGGGTGTTTAGAGAGAACGGGGTGAGTGTCGTTGTTAACCTTGAAGCCGAGTTGTAAACACTGCCAGGTTTGATAATTTCCCAGAGGCTGAGGTCTGATGGAGGCAATTCTCAAAGATTAAAAGATAGCAGGTAATTGAGGATCTTTGAGGATGTTGTCTCCACAGATTCCCACTTCGGCTTCCTTCCCTGTTTCTTTAGAATATAATTTACGGCTGGTACTCAGAGGAGGTCACAAAAGAAAAAACCTGGAGACAGGTGGGAACTCACACCCCGTTTAAAAATTGCATGTGAGGTTACGTGCCATCTAAAAGTCATAATTAGGGAATTTTCTCGGGCTTGCAACCAGAGCTATGTGCGCTCCAAAGGCTGGGATTTGCGGAGGCAATAAACTTGAGGAACATCTGAAGTAACTTTTTCTTCCCTGGTACTAAAAAAGGGAATGAAAACCCAGTTAGAATTTAAATGTTGGGTCATCTGTGAGCTTTTTATGCTACTCAAGGTAGATATTAATATGTTTTTGTGGTTCATGTGAGTAGGAGGTACATGAGTACCTGTCAGTCTGGGACAACCACTGTCATCGTGTCTTGTCCTCACCAAGTAAAATAAAATAGCAGTGAACATTAACACTAAAAATTGGGAAAACCTCTGTACTGGAAAGCTCAAGAAAAAAAATACTGATCTGATCCTCAGTATTATAAATTAGATTTTTTTTTTTTATTTTAATGAGTTTAAGTAAATATTAATGTAGTACATTTTTTTCCAGAAGGACTTTCGAAATTCCAGTGTGTGGCTAAAATACACCCTTGGAGTCCCAAACTGCTGTTTGGTAACCACAGCTTCTACAGAAGAGATGGCAGAAGTGGTGATGAGTAAAGCATTCTATTATGTTTCACTGTAAATAT